CCTTAATGCCTTTATTTTGGCTGAGTGGCATTGGTTCCTGCTTATGGTGACTCTGTAGCTGTGTGGAAGTATGATTTGGGGGCTGCATTAGGATAGTGTCCCTCCAGCAGCCTTACTGCCTTTATTTTGGCTGAGTGGCATTGGTTCCTGCTTATGGTGACTCTGTAGCTGTGTGGAAGTATGATTTGGGGGCTGCATTAGGATAGTGTCCCTCCAGCAGCCTTGGTGCCTTTATTTTGGCTGCATGACATTTGTTCCTGCTTATGGTTGCTCTGTAGCTGTGTGGAAGTATGATTTGGGACCTGCATTTGGATAGTGTCCCTCCAGCAGCCTTAATGCCTTTATTTTGGCTGAGTGGCATTGGTTCCTGCTTATGGTGACTCTGTAGCTGTGTGGAAGTATGATTTGGGGGCTGCATTAGGATAGTGTCCCTCCAGCAGCCTTGGTGCCTTTATTTTGGCTGCATGACATTTGTTCCTGCTTATGGTTGCTCTGTAGCTGTGTGGAAGTATGATTTGGGGCCTGCATTAGGATAGTGTCCCTCCAGCATCCTTGCTGCCTTTATTTTGGCTGAGTGGCATTTGTTCCTGCTTATGGTGGCTCTGTAGCTGTGTGTAAGTATGATTTGGGGGCTGCATTAGGATAGTGTCCCTCCAGCAGCCTTGCTGCCTTTTCATAACCCATTATAAACAGGAGCACTGAGCCCATCTGTTTATGTTCTGTGTGTCTGACATGAATCCCATGGTGACTGACTCTGCTCTTATTCCAGCTCCTATCATTGAGTTTTCGACAAAATATTCTGCAACCGCAGCTGAGAAAGCAGCACTAAAATTCCTTGCAGGTGGATTTGTAGTTAGGATGGCCTTTTTGGTTTTTATGCAATGTAAGTACATTCACAAGTCCATAATAATGCCGTACAGTAAAACCTCGGATTGCGAGCATAATTCGTTCCGGAAACGTGCTCATAATCCAAAGCACTCGTATATCAAAGCAAATTTTCCCAATAGAAATAATGGAAACTTACATGATTCATTCCACAACCCAAAAATATTCATATAAAAACAATTAATACAAAATATAAAGTAAAACGTATACGTAATACTCGTATTGCAAGACCTCACTCATTGTTTTGCTTGTCTTGCAAAACACTCACAAACCAAGTTACTCGCAGTCCGAGGTTTGACTGTATATTTATACATTTTTTTGGTAATTGGGATTTCAGGAATACTGGACCATATTTAGCTATTGAGGTTTTTATTTTTTTTTTCATTATCATAATTTCATTATGTTTAAAACAACCTGTGAAAACTAATTTCATGTATTCTTAAGTGTTTAATGTGTATATAGTTTAATACGTTGTAAGATGCTTGACCCTTGTTATCTGTGGTATTCCTGACATGAACATCATGCCAAGTGACCCTGTTCTTACTTCATTTCAGTTGTATTCTTTTGGTTTTTCAATTCTTCTTCGTCCTGGAAGACATTCAAGAAAACACTATTGGCTATATCTGAAGTTCTGATATTAATGGTTGTAGTCACAAGTAAGTCTGTTTCCAAGTTTATAAATGTATTTATTTTACATTACGTTTTGGGAATTCTGGACCAGGATTGTAGAGGTATTTATTTTCTGCATTTTAATGTATTAAACACAGAACTTTAACATTTTGCTTTACATGAATTTAAAACACAATCCATCATTATGTATATATTATGGCATATGCATGTCCCACTGAAACATCGTCATATTTGCATAAACAATGTTAGTCTGCTTCTTAACCTGGGATGTAGTTTTAGTGCCTGTGTCCAACATGGGATTCAAACCCAGAACCCCCAGGTGACAAGGCTGTGCTCCTTTAATCACAGGATTGCTGAGTGTGTCTGTCATGAATTTTATAATGACTCAGTGTTCTTACCTCATTTCAGTTGGTGGTGTTGAATTACTTGCCAAACATTTCTCTGGAAGAGCAGAAACTGGAGCATTTTTAACTGTCTTTATAATTCCAGTGATCATCGTATTAATCACTTGTAAGTATAGTTGTTTTTGGCGGCCTGTCTTAATTTTAGTTTTAGTCTAGTCTTTGCGTCAAACTGTCATTTTAGTTATTAGTTATTAGTCTTAGTCACGTCCATACTCATTTTAGTCTAGTCAAGTTTCAGTCAACTAAAAGTCTGAGCATTTTAGTCATATTTTTTAGTCGAATTATCCATGACTATTTTAGTCTAGTTTTAGTCAACAAAAACTGATGACATTTTAGTCTAGTTTTAGTCAACGAAAACTGATGACATTTTAGTCTAGTTTTAGTCAATGAAAATTGTATTTTAGTCTCTTTATTTTAGTAATGCAATTCTATTTTACCTAGTCAATATAGTACAAGTACCTAATAGAATAGACAAAAACAAAGTTTTCTTTTAGTCAAACGCATTTCACAATTAAAACAAGGTTCTTATTATTATATTATTGTTACCTTATGGACTCAAGAATACTCTACATCCATTCCAGACACGGAAGATGCTCTGAATTGAATTTATAACATTTATTTTGCCAACCAAACATGTTTGAACTTAGAAGTACGCACAAATTTAAATAAAATAAATAAATAAATAAAATACAGTGGTACCTCAGTTCTCAAACTCATTAGAACTTGAATTTCTTAAAAGTCGAACCAACCAGTTAGAAAAAAAATTACCTAGAGCTCGATCTGAATCTCAGAAGTCAAACCGTGAATGCCGACCTAAGATAACTTGTACGCGCAGGGAAATGAGTCACGCGGCACGTCTCTCAGCAGAAACAAAGGGTAACGCTTCAGTCTCAGTCTTGCATTAACTGTGATAGCATCGTGCATGTTTACACTAGCTGAATACATATATTTAGACAGTAAAAATACATTTAGACAATGATAGACAGTAATAGTAATTATTATTATATAATAAAATACATTTAAAAATAAAGATTTCTTATTAATTATTTTAATATAAATAATAAACAATTAATACATTTAATTATAATAATATTGTCCTGCCGGGCAGGGACAGAACGGTGACAAAGGCGCAGATGTTAGGGTATCGGGGGAATACGGAGTTTAATTACAGGTAAGGCAGGCAAAACGCAGACGGACAATACAATGACCGGACTGGGGAAACAAACTGAAACGCGTACTAAATACAGAGGACTAATGACAACAACCAGAAACAGTTGATCACACAGGGATCCCACACGAGGTTAACGAGGGGGCGTGGCACACGGAAGGAGCGGACGATCGGGGCAGGACACATTGTTTTTTTTAATTTTACACATTGTTTGGATACATTTATTTTCTTACTTTACAAATTACCAGGGCTTGTCCTTTAAGGTGCGCAATTGCGCGTGCACGCCATCACGCGCCTAAAATGGTGAAGAGCTGCGCAAAGAAATGCGCGCCTATCAATAAAAAAGAATTAAATTGTAAGCGCCTCATAATTTGTCACGTGACCACTCGACGCTCCACGGAATTATTCATAACAACAATGGCGTCGAAAAAAAGCATGGATAGCAAGGGTCATCCGTGTCAGAATGCAAAGTTTTTGAAGTGGGACGTGATGCGGAGGGGGATTCTGCCAAGTAAAACCGCTAATTTAGGCGGGAAGGAATTGGTTCTAGAGGTGATGTTCATTGTCTGACAACTAAGCAAGTCGTGATGGTCGAAAAATGTGCTGAGAAGTTGGGCGAGATTTACTATCTAGCGTCCATGACCGACCGTCCATGGCATACCCACCGAGTTAAGACAGCGCTGCGGCTGCGATACTTCATCTCTGTCTGTCCATTTTGACATGTTTCAAGTTCGTTTTAACAACCCTGGGGCCTGTACTACGAAGCGGGGTAACTGGCTTATCGGGGTAACTTTGCGAGTAACTTGATGACGTGTGGTGTAACTTCGGGATTAACCAGTACCACGAAAGTTGGGTAGGTTTTAGTCGAGATGCTGCTATGGCAATTTATGCTAAGTCTCAAAACTGCTCGGAGCAGTTTTTGTTCTTGGTTAAGTCGAGGTTTCCACGTAAGCCAACCCTATATGAGCACCACCCCTCCCACTATAATTTCTTCGAAGACAATACCGGCATACCTGGATGATCCGTACCACATTGGCGCGCGAATCGTGAGGGGCTCTCTCTGTTAATATGTATGAAATGGAGCAATAGCATATAATATTCACCAATAAAAAGTGATTCACTTTAAATGGGTTTCTACAAAATATGTTAAAGCATTAAAACTAGGACAAAATTCTCAACTAATACTAGGACTACAAAAAACAGAAATATGTACAAATGCAAGTACATTTTGACCCATTGCACCAAAGTCCAACCACATTTTAGGCACACAAAAAAGGTGAAATTGTGCACCTAGCACTTTTAGGGTGCATAAATTTGTGTTCGCCCGCATTTTTCAAAGGACAAGCCCTGAATTACTGTTTTGATAAATGTGCTTAGATGTGTTTAGTACAGTATATGTTCTTCTTATTTTATCCGGTTCATTTTGTGTTTAAATGCTAAAAAAAAAAAACATATTTAGGTGTAATATTTTGGGCCGGGAACCAATTAATTGGTTTTCCATTATTTATTATGGGGCAAATTCGATCAGAACTCGAACTTTTTAGGATTCGATCCGGAGTTCTGAACGGATTAAGTTCGAGTTCTGAGGTACCACTGTAATGTCCATCTTCTTGCACGAGACTTGCTTCACTGAACCTGTTTATGGAATCTAGCACAGGAATAGATACAATGTCAGGACAGATGCAGCCTCTGGAAAATCTAACTGTTGTAAATATTAAGTAGAAAAAATAGGCCTCACAAGACCATAAGGGATGCCAATCAAAATGCATCATGCTCTGAATCATTCACGAACATCCTTTCCACAAAAACATTATTTCACAGTTAGCAGGTATTTACATGAGCTGTAGCCAGAGCATATACCTCTATGTGGATGGTAACTAGCCTAGCAAGCCAGACCCATGCACGATGTTCAGAAAAATGCTCTTTCAATGTTTCAAACACTACCCCTTTAGACATATATCTACTCACGCAGTAATGAAAGCTTGAAAGTTTAGATCGCCAGGATTTAAGACAACTGAGCTGTCGTTCTCAGTTTGCTACTTAGCTTTAGCTTGCTAAAAGGCCTACATAGCTTCAAAGTGTTCCCTTTACCCACGTGTTCTTATCAGACATCTTATCAGAAAGGATGTTTTGTACAGATCGCTAAGTGTCCATGCTTACAAGCCTTATGAAATATAATTTTCTCCAAAACGTCTAAAGCTAGCAGGCTAACATCTATTGCTAACGATAACATGTTATAACCACAGTTGGCATGAGGTTTCTAAAATAGAAAGTAACGTTACGTTAATGTCTTTACTTACCTCAATGTCCTTGTGGAATGCCTTGAGATGTCTTTTAAGGTTTTAAGGTTTGTGGTGTTTTTTCCCGATATTTTGTGGCCGCATTTCTCTGCCATCTGTGCGCCCGAATGGGAGACACGTACAGGAAACAGAAATACTGCATAATAATAATAACGCGATTAAACGAGAGGAAATAACGTCTCGTCTCTTTTTCATCAACGAAAATGAAGAGACATTTTAGTATAGTTTTTATTTTGTAAACCAAATTTAGTCTCGTTTTATTCGTCAACAATATTACATGATATATTTCGTTATAGTTATCGTCACATGACCAGCATTTACGTTGTGTCTCGTCTCCATCACGTCAAAAAAGTTAGTTGACGAAAACACTACTACTTGTAAGTAAATTAGCATATATTTTTAAATGCACTTTGCGGTATATTTGTCTCTGCCCTATCCTGTCTGTCATCCTGACTTGACCAGCAGGTGTTGCTGGCCATCCCATTCCTAGTGTTTCAGTGATGATGATGACCGTTAGGGTTGGGATATACTTGATGCGACACGCATGCAACGCGAGGTGTACACTACGCTATGGAATGCCAAACTAAGGAACGAGTTAAGCATTAAGCATGAACGTGTTAAGTCTTAAGCAACTTATTGACGCATTTTTATGCCTGTTATTCTTGACACACTAAACGCACCTTCCCAGCAAACAAAGGACAGCCAGAGGACGTCCCCCGGATGTCTGCAACATGCCCCCTTTTTGGTGACGTCCTTAGGCCGACCGTGTTACTATGAAAAATAAAGAAATCCTTCAAAAGCAAACCTTCCAGGAATAGCATTTAAAAATATATCATTTTATCTTAAATATTTTTTTATTTATTAATGTTCCATTAGGATGTCCAGACGACGTTCTTTGAGGATGACATCGCACCAAAAAGGAATGTCCTAAGGACGAGCGTGTTACTATGAAAAATACAGAAATCTATCAAACAATTTATTATGACGGCATAGGAGCTATTGAAAAAAAAGGCCTAATTTTATTTTAAAAATTAGGACCTCGGGTTGAGACAGCCAATACAGCACCTCGTCCAGCAGCTTGAGGCGGCTGTCCTCAAGCTGCGGAGGTGCACTCGGGAGATCCGTCATTCTGTCACGCTTCAGGAACAGGCGAGTCGGGAAGCAGGCAAGTGGAGCCTAACTTACGGGTAAAAGGGGGTTTATTTAGGGCAGACTGGCGACGAACAGCAAACATCATGACAATACAATGACGGATCTGGGAGACAGTGGGAGACGCGGACTAATATACACCAAACTAGTCAAAAGGAACAGGAAATAGGTGATGACAATCAGGGATTAACACGAGGTAACGAGGCGGGCGTGGCACACACGAGGATCGGACGGAGCTGGGCGTGACAGTTTGTGCAATATTTTTTTTTGTGCAAATACGGTATGCATATAATATATCTGTGTGCAAATACAGTATAAATACAGTATGATACATGTGAAAATACAGTATAACAACGTATAAGTATAATATCAGAGGGCATATTTTTATTTTTATTTATTTTGATTTAACCTTTATTTAACCAGGAAGGTCCCATTGAGTTACAATAACTCTTCTTCCAGGGAGTCCTGGCCAAGAGTGGCGGCTAGTTA